TGGCAGCACAGCAACAACAACAACACCAGCAGCAGCAGCAACAGCAGGAGCCGCACATCATTCTGGTCCCCAACAAGGAGGCAAAGGATTATGAGCCCGTTTTTACGATTGCTGAGTAAAGACACGCTTAACTGTCGCATTGCATTAAATAATTAATAAACACCCACTCACACACACACACACATACACACTTTATATTCGGACAGCTATTCGTACGGCTTGTCGCTGGAGGAGCTGCTGCCGTTCGGCTGGGATCCTTGGTGGCAGAAGGCGCGTCGTCTGTGCTCCGTCTGCCTCTGGCTAGCATTTGTCCTGACTCTGTTCTCTGCCCTAGCTCTGGCCTACTACCACGACACGGCCACCATCTGTCCGGCTGTTCGCCTACCGGCCCTACCCCCCACTCCCGCGCCACCCGCAACACTCGCCCTGGCCACCAATGGCACGCTCCTGCTGCCAGGCTAATGCGAGCTGGCACTCGGTAAGTGGAGCGCTTGTACTCTCCTCTTTGGACTATTGGCTGCTGCAACGGCATGCCTAGGATTACATCAGCCTGTGCACTTGAGAACAGCCCAGCTGAGCTGAGATGAGCGATAAGGCGAGGCCAATCAGTTGACTTTAGCTCTTCAATTATTTAACAATTAACAATTTGTTATTTATTTATATTCATTAAATAGGAAATATCAAAGATATTTTTAGACTTTTCATTGCATTCTGAAACCTTTAACAGAATTTTATTCGCAGATTTCTTTAACCAAGAAATCGTAACTAATTTCACTCATTTCTTTTCCAATTGGAATATGACATACATATATGAAAATTCCAATAAGGCGAGTGAATATCTTATATGGAGTTGTATCAGCAAAGTTTCAGTTGAAAACTAATTGACTTTTTAATTGATTTCGAGTCGAAATGTCAACTTTAGTAAGGTCTATAAATGTAAGAGTTATCTATACATGACATAGTTCTCTTTCACTACTCCAGTTCTATTATTTAATCTGCCTTTTCCGTCAGTCTTCAATTTTAACCAAATTTTATTCATATGTAGATATATAATTAATATTTATTCATGAATTAGCTACAGTTACTTGAGTTGCATTTGTATTGTTATGGACTCCAAAGACTCTCACTAGGGAGGTGGCTTGACTGAAGCTCGCTCTGTGCAGCTGCGGCGCTTCGTTCGCCTCCGACCAAGGCTGAAAGTCAAAGTCGTAGCCCTCCAGGTCCACACAGTTCACGTAGGGATTCCCATCCAAGCGGTGACGTTCCATGAGATGCTGACGCACGCGTCGAATGTCATCGGAGTTGCGGCAGATGATGGCAGCCAGGCTGGTCTTGTAGATTTCGCCCAGCTGAGCTGCAGGCAGAATCAATTGTAGAGTCACACACATACATAGATATCTCAGACTAGTCTTACGCTTGGTCAGCCTCTGGGGTCCCATTTTGCGCTCATACCAATGGGAGTCGCCGAGCTTGATTCGCATGAACTGATCAGAGACCAGGCAGCTGAGCAGCGGCCCAAAGATGGCGCCATCTAGCGGCGGCTCGCTTAGCGCGCCCGTATAGAGATCCACATCTTGTGGGGAACTGAGGGTAAATGAGAAATGAAACTCAAGTCTTAGTTAGCCAAGTGCTACCCACTCGTAGATCTGCCTGATGGAGGCCAAAGTTGCGTTGTCCACGGCCTGCGCCATCTGCTCCCACGTGTCCACTGGCGGCAGTCCGCAATGCCTTCGGAGGACTGGGTAGGCGGGTATGCCATGATCGCGGCCACGCTGTATATTCAGCGACACCAAGTCGAGGCCGCAAACGGGCACGCGGTCCTCGGCTGTGCCCTCGAAGAGCTTCTGGGTGATCTCCAGCGAGAAGAAGCGGTCGACGCGCAGCACGGGCGTATTGGCGGCAGCCTGGAGGGCGTGGTCGATGCCGTGCGGCGTCCACAGCGAGAACGGATTGAAGAGCATCTTGTGCAGCTCCATGGCCTCGGGCGTGCTGTTGTCCCGCGACACATTGAACAGCCCCGGCAGCAGCGTGTGGGCGAAGCGAAAGGCAGCGGCCGCAAAGCAATTCGCAATGCTGGGATCCACCTGGGGATCGTAGGTGTCCGGCGCATCGAGCTGCTCGCGGGCGGGCAGCAGACCCTTGGCCTGGCTCAGGTTGCGGCCCAGCAGCACGGGCAGAAACTCGTTGTAGGTGATGTGCGCGAGCTGGGCGGCGAGGATCTTGCGCGACTCCTGGAAGAGGCGCTCGTCGTCCCAGTCGGGATTCACTTGATGCAGGCCCCGGGCCAGGTAGTTGTGGTGCCTGGCCCACAGCAGGTGCATCGAGGTGAGCAGCAGGTTCTCGTTGGCCCGATCATCGCCCGACTCGAAGCAGTACTTGCCCTGGCGCGTCATCAGCATCCGATTGCAGCCGTCCTCCGGATTGGAGGAGATGGGCAGCAGCTCGCGGCCGTCGTCGGTGAGGAACATGCGGAGGGTGCCATTGATGTAGCTGCGCAGGCTCCGCTGCCGCTGCTCCAGGTTCCCATACACCACAGAGCCGTCAATGAAGGCCGTGGCCTGATTGAACTGCTGCCGCGGTCCGAATCTGCCCGTCGGAGCTGGCGCCGAGCGCACAAAGTTCATGCAGGTCAGGTTGTACTGCCTGTAGTAGGGGTCCTCGGCGAGGATGTGCACCGGGAAGCACTCCGGGTGCTGCTCGAGAGTGCCGCGCGCACAGCAATCAATCGACTCGCCCTCCTGCGCCGTGGTCAGCGACGTGGCCGTAATGTCGTGGTCCAAGAACTGCCCAAACACAGCCAGCATAACGGTGAAATTCGAGTCCGTTTCGTAGCTAGAGCGGTGAATGTTGAGCGAGACCTGGCGAGCCGGCGGCAGCTGCTTGCCTCCATGAGCCGCCCGCGGAGCGGCAATGCCATCGCCGTAGTCCGGCGCGACCATGCGGCGATAGGGCACCATGGAGGCGCCATAGGTGCGCGGATGCTCCTTGTTGTTGCAGACGCCCGTGCTGCGCCTGTAGCGCTCATTGAAGTCGCAGTCGAGCCGCAGCACCTGCGGATCCGGCAGCACTATTACCGGGCCCACTCCAATGTTGCTCCGGCCCGGCTGCTTGGTGTAGTTGTAGTTCTGGGCAATGTCCAGGGTGGCCTGGTTCTCCACGTAGCCGCGACGCGCCAGCTTACGCGCCTCGGGATTCGTGCTGAGGGAGCGATAGTGCCGGAACTGGGGCGTGTTGATGGCACTCGGCTGCAGCCCCTCCTCCAGGATCTCGCGATCGCCCAGCGCCTTGATGCCCGCACTCACCGAACGAGCGCCCGCTCCCTCGTCCACTGTCGCGTTACCCAGCGCCCACTCCGACTCGGGCTCATCCGGTATGGGCCTCTTGACAGCCGCCAGCATCTCGCCCACAGACTCATTCGTGGCGAAGAAGAAGCTGGGCTCTTCCCAGCCAGAGTTGTTGCTGCTGCTGCCGTTGCCAACGTAACCGCTGCCACTGAGCCACAGAGCCAGGCCCAAGGCGGCAATTACAATGACGCTGCGGGCAGGAAAGTGAAATTGATTTGTGGTTAAAGCCTTTTCGAACTAAACGTTAACACGCCGGGTCATACAGGGCTATCAAATGACAAACTGCAGCTAAATGGAATGGGAATTTCCAATTGGAGTGGCAACGATTTAATACCCTACAAGATTTGCTAACTAAAGTGGAGATATTGGCTTAGCAGTGCTATCAAATGGCGAATTTACATTGCCTTTGGGATGTCCATTAATGCCCTAACTAACCGAAATTTGAATAATATAAGTTTAGTTTTGGATCTCTTGGAATCTCTGCCAAAAGATATAAGGCTGCCAGATGGGTCAGTCGAATATGGACAACCCTGTATTTTTCAATATTTATATATTTTCTGACTTTGCATATACAGTAAGCATTTTTTCCCTATACTAATTTCCATTTTTATCACCTTCTCGTGTTTACTTATTTGTTGAATATTAATCCACAGAAAATAATGAAATCTCAATACTCAAAATATGAGCAGATATATGTTTGAATACCTTATATAGAATATATATCCATAATATTCTTTATATGCTTTAACCATATGAGAATTATATGGATAGCAGTACAAAAACGCGTGAGTCCAACGCCCACTGTTTGCGTGTTTACCCACCTTAGTTTGTTGAAAAATATAAGGGTTGCTAAAACCTTATAACTATCCTCATTCAACTACACCTTAAAGTCACGGGCTGTTCAATCTCTATAAGTAAACGGCCTTAATTGGCTATCGTGTATTCACAGACCATCTAAAAATCAATAAAATGCTCCGTCAGTCATATGCTATACGTGTAGTAATACGATCCATGATCAGAAAACATATCACATCCAAACCGAACCCTTGAACTAGATTGCATATACTTGCAGAAATCGGCACTATTCGACATTGCAATACTAGTAAAAATGTGAAATGCACTTAGCGCAGATCCAATTTCAGTTTCTATGCTTGGTACAGCCAGCAGTCACTGTATAGTTACTGCATATCGCTTATATTCCGATTTGGCTGAATAGCACACCGAACACTCACATAAACGTCAGCGTGACGCAGCACTGGAACTGTTTCAGTTTGGAAGGACGTGCGCGTGGGGAGACGCCGCCGGGAAAGACATAGCTGGGTCCCTGATAGGGCGGTAGTGCAACATAACCAGAGCCGGAGCCGGAGCCAGAGCCGCTGGCGGTCAGCGGCGTTGTTTCGTCCGTCATGATCAAAGCGAAACTAAAGAGCTGCCAGCAGGCGAACTAAGAGTAAGTGCCCCATCAGCATGTCGCTTGGCACTTGGCACTTGGCGGGCTTCCACTCCGTTCGCCACACTTGAGTTACTTTCGCCGGCAGCAGCAACTGCAGCAGCAACTGTCGCAGCGACGACCACTGACAAAGCAACTTAGTTTATAATGTTTTATAATGCGGGCCGAACAAAGCCAACAACTGTCCCAGAGCGCATCAAAAGTCGTTTCTTAGTCTAGGTCTTTAATAGGAATGGCAAATGCCCAAAATGAAATGATTACAGCTCCATATCTTCCGCCGGCTTAAACATGTCGCCCACGTACTCGTAGGTCAGCTTCAGCAAATACTGAAAGGGCTTTTGCTGCGGCAGGTCGCCCAGCTCGGCGCTGTCCAGGAAGTCCTCCATGGGGGGCAAGACGTTTTCGCCCTCCTGACCCATCAGCTGCGACAGCTCAATCACCTTGTAGAAGAGCAGCTTGTGTATATAGTCGACCGCATTGTTCGTATCGTAGTCCGTCCAGTTGTCGCGCCGTATGATCGCGCACCAGATCTTGTGTCGCAAGTCGTACGGCTGATCCACATAGCTGAGCAGCTCCAAGGCCTTGCGGAACTCGACTTCGGTGGCGCTCTCGTTCTCCTCGGCAATAAAGAGCTGCAAGCAAACGAAATTATGAACAAGGCGATCTCTCACAGACTTATGGCTGAAAAGTTACATTGATGATCTCCTCCACTTTGAGCACCTTCTGGTCGGTGGGGTCGAAGCCGAAGCTCTGCAAGACATCGTGACCCAAATGCGATTGATACTCAATAATCATCAATTCGAAATCTATTTTCTCAACTTGGGCCGCCAAATCGACGTCGGCCACAGCGAAGGCAGCCAACTTGGACAGCGACAGCATCGACTTCTTGCGCGCCACATACTCCGTTTCGCATTGGGCCAGCTCGTAGAGCACCTTGGCAGCACGTTCGAAGTCGCCGTTGAATATGAGCTGGATCCAGCCGAGCGACGGATGATCGCGCATGAATTGCGCTAGCGCCGTCTGGTTGCCCTTGAAGCGCTCGAAGACCTCTGCGTGCCGCTGCTGCCGCAAATGCCAGTTGATGGCGAACTGCGAGAAATCATATTCCTCATATTTGCGGGTGTATTCATCCAGCCGATCCTTGTCCTGCGTCTCGTCGCAGATGAGCACCAGGCTGGGGAAGTCCAGATACTTCTCAGCCAGCCTGGCAGCGCACTCGTACTGCCGCTCCTTGACTGCAATGAAACCATATCAATAGACTCAACCATCATCATCCTAACCATCTGCTGCTACTCACTTAGCGTGGCGATGAGATCACGTCGCTGCGTCTCGAATTGCTGCTGCAGCACCTGATGCTTTTCCGTCTCCCGCACGCTGTCCAGATAGTTCTTTCGCGCCTCCAGCACCATGTCCACCAGCTCCATTATCTGCTGATATAGCGTGTGCTTCAGCTCCGTCTCGTTGACGCACTGAGTGGCGTAGCGCACAGTAATCTCTATTAGGCGGACTAGTGCATCGTGTACGCCTGCGGCACCTGGCGTGGCTGTCCACGGCTGATTCTCATGCGCCTTGCCGGGCAGCTTGTAGCTGCTGGCATTCTGCTCCCGAAACCTCAGCACCTGACCCAGAGTGCCCAGCACAACGGCATTGATATCGGCGATGGTTTGAGCTACTGAGGCCGTCGTGCGATTCTGAGATGCAATGCGATCGTCTGCCATGTCGGCCAAGGACTCGTAAATACTCTGAAATTTGCAGAGCTTCACATAAAATATATCCTGCGTCGTCAGGCTGCCCTGCGGCCGCTCCTCCCAGCGTGAGACTGTTATATCGATGGCCTCGTCCACCAGCTTCGGCATTTTACCCTGTATCGTCCGCAGCGCCATGGCAGCCACAATTTTCTCACTGATGTCGGAGAGGATGTACGAAGTGGGTTTCAAGATATTGCTGCCACAGGGTATTGCGTTGAGCTGCAAGTATATTAGAAATATCAGCTGGATATGCATGAGCGACTAGGAGTAATTGCCACGCACCTTCTCCCAAATTGAGCACTGATGCAAGAAATCAATGAAGTGGTGCAGGGCAATGCTCTTATCCCGCAGCTGGTTAATGATTTGCATGGAGCGGGAGCTGCCCAGGGCGTGCCGATTGCCATCGTGCTCCTCGAGAACGGACTGCCATCGCGGATCGGCAATGGGCAGATCCTCAGCCAAGTCCTCAGCAATGGTGATGACGATTCTATAAAGCATATAATTAATTTACATATCTATATGAGGTATTATCGTATAGTCGCACCTATCCAATTTATAGGCATCTAGAGGTGCTCCTTGCTGATCAGATTCGTTGATGCTTTCCATTAGATCCGCAAGGATTGTATTGACCATGTTGTTGTTGCGTTTCAGCTTATATAAGAAGGCCGCCTTCAGCTGACCCACCTCATTGTTGAGCTCATTGTAAACGTCATCCGGATCCAAGTGAAACAGTGGCAAATTATTGGTGCTGTCGCCTAGGGTACTCTGATCCTGGCCACTGAAGGTTGCATTGAACGAAATAGGCGCAAACATATCGGGCGTATTGCAGCTGCTCATGTTCAGCAAATCGGTGCTATCAAAGTCGCCCGGCGTGATGGAGACCAATCCGTGTGTGCGGCTGAAGAAGAGTGGCAAGTGATTGCAGATGGCGGCGCTTAGGATGCGATCATCGTGCAAATGGAACTCCACTTTCTCCGCCTCAATCTCAGCTGTAGGTGAGCCATTCGACAAGAGCAGCGGATAAACCACCTTGGATGTATACAAATACATGTGCGAGGGTCCGACAATGATGCGCACGCTAAGACACTCCTGCGCCGTTTTGCTATTAAAGAACTTGTTCAGCTTCAGCGGCGTAAAGCAATCCAGCTGCATTCCATCCTCCCGAGCCGAGGCAACAACTAAAAGCGAGGGTGGGCTATAGTGGGTGATGTTGGTTCTGGAAAGCTGATTCGGACTCACCTATAGCGTAGTACATCTGGGGCGTATGGGCCTGGTTGACAGCGCCTACGACCATATAGTATTGTCCTTTGTACACTTGGAAGTCCATGAAATGCATTTCGATCTCAACATTATCATTGGGCAAGCGAACATTCCAAAACTTTAAGAGCAACATTTCGCGCATTTTCCGCAAGAGATCCACATCCTCATATAGCAGCTGTTCCGAGTTGCCCTTGTTCGAGAGACGCCACCGTTGAATGGCGCGATCCGATAGCACAGCCACAATGGATTCGCCATTCTCTGTATCGCGCTCACAGCACATCCCAACTAAAAGCTGGGGATGATGCATTTCAATTAGCTGCTGGGACGGGAGGAGTGAAACGAGTTAGCTCACCTGGTCCCTGTCGCTTCCGCTGTTCATGCCAATGAGCATCGAGGCAAACCGTTTGCCAAAGCCACCTAGGAAACTCGTCGCAGGTTTTATCGTCTTGTGGTGCAGGGTATAACGTCCATTCGTGAGACCAACTCGTAGAAAGACCAAGGTGCAGGTGGAGGTGACAGCCAAATAGCCTTGCTGCGTGGGCAGGTTGAGCAGCTGAACGAATTCCTGGCCGGTGAGTATGGAGATGTCGACGGAGTTGTTATCGTGCGCAATGGAAGTCCAATAGCGCACGTCGCCAGTCGCTGAGATTGCAATGCACGAGGCCATCTGCTGGCCCTCGGTGTGAAACACGCTGACCAATTCGCTTTTGTGGCCAATATCGCTGTAGGGCAGGGTAAGCTCACGGCACTGAGCCGAGGTGCCAGTACGTCTCTGATGCTTGCCTAAACGCGGGGGCGAACCAAATTTGCCTGTACTAGACGTATCCTTATACTGCCAAATCAGTAGTCGACGGCCTTGCACAACCTGAAAGGAAATAATGTGTCTTTACATACATACATGTACAATTGTACAGAAGAGGGAAACTTACCCACGCCCAGCCTCTTTGTGTGATTTTCGCTGATACTGTGCTCGCATTTGGTCCGGCAAAGGTGAGGGCCTCATTGACGGCCACGGGCAGGGCATGGCCATAGCTCTCCACGACATTGTAGTCCGATCGAATGCCCGGTATGGACTGTGTGGTAGACCGCGCGGAGAGGCTCAAGCGACTTTTGTAATGTGTCTTCATATTAGAACATTATGTTTATAAATGCATCACCTACTTTACCTATTGTTTAACGCCGTTTTCTTCAAGCTGCCTGGCAGTTGCGATAAGCCCTGATTGCCGCCAAAAAATGATTTTCGTGTATTATCAGCGCTCGCCGGCATACTCTGACGCCGCACACTTGGCGATGATTCCCGAGAGATGCCGTAAAGCTGCTTTTGCATGCTTCGTTCCATTATTATTTTGTTGTGCTATTAAATAAAACAATTCCAAGTTATAAACAAGAAACACATGTACACTGAACAAATTTAGCCGGCACTGAGTGTGTATCGGCATAGCCGCAAACGTCGATACTTGCCGATATATAGTGGTGGTAGCTGTCAAGAAGTGTCACAAGTATTTGAGCTCCGCTTGCGAATATTGTACTTCATTTTGTAAATCTTCGGGTTAAATATTGCTAAAAATAGTTAAATTAACAAAAACTTGGTCTTTTAGTACATAAAAGGGCACCAATTAATATAAATCTAACAGACCAACCATGCCAAGCTAATCTAATGTGTAATCGATAGTCGACACAATTGGCGGGACTCGACAAGGTATGTTATTAACATTAAACTGTTAAGCCTATCAAACTGCTCTTACATTATTATGACAGGGCTGTTATCTACAGCTGATTATAGTCGATTGGCTGCAATGTTGTTTACATGCTTTACTTTAATCGATTGCTGAGAACAATGGCGCGAAAGCTATCAAATAGGTTGGAGAACCCACTAGAGTCAACCTGTTGATATACGAACAATAATACTTCAAATATTATTTAAATTGCAATGTTAGTCAAGGACTAAGGTGTCCGCCCTTGACACATGTTTTAAGATGAATATGAAATTGTGCAATCAATGTTAAATATTGATGTGCCTGATTATTAATTGTTAATTCAATGTTAAAACAATATACAGATGATATTTTAGATGTTTTTTATTTTTTTTTTTTAGTTACATATCAATTAATTGTGTGCCATGGATGGTGATGATCTACTTTGCTCACTTGGACGATTTTAGTGTTCAATTACATATGCTTGAATTATTCTTACTTATAGTTATATACATCTTATACTTCTTATACACCTCAGACATCTTATGCTATGTAGATAGAATGACTTGCTTTTCACTTTTTCTATTTCTTAAGAATCTAGCACATGAAATTGGAAAAAGTTAGACTCAGTCTTAGGTGTGCTATTAAAATGATGATAGCGCTTTTATATACTCAATAGACCATGAATTTAAAGTCAACGGATCGTATGCTTGATAGATATAAATGGAGGTTCTTCAAATCCAATGAAATAGATAATTACAATTACAATATTTAAATTATTAAAAATTTATATAAATAATTTACTTGAGTATGCATTTTTAATATTTTTGTAATATATCAAGTATATATTCTAAATTGCACTCTACCCAGATCCAATGTATACATCAAAATGTCAAAACATACATCATACACCAATACATACTTACATATGTACATATGTACAAAACGCACTGGATTTGTAATACATATGTAAATCTTAAAGTTGCTAATAATATCTGATATCTGTTGCATCTACCTAAACTGTAATATAATTGAACTCGATTGATTTGTCAAGGAAGACAGATCTTATGTAATAAATTGGCGTCGATTGGTAATACCTACCAAGTTTAGTCTGAGGAAATGGAATCAAAGAGATATGCCTAATGAAGACTATTGTGTATTTTGTTATATGTATGTTTTGCATGCCTTTGTTGTTTTTGTTTTTTTGTTTTTTGTTTTTTTTTTTTTTTTTTTTTATACATTTCTTTTATTATTTATATACTCTTAATGCGACCCATTCAAATAGATCGCAGATATATGAAATACAAATATGTAGAGATATACATACATATGTACATATAATTATAACAGCAATGCCTTTCTTTGTTTTGTTTTTTGGAAGTCTTATGCGTCTAAATTAATGTAAATAAATACTTTTCTCTCAATTGAATAGACAGATATATATATATATGTATATGTATAATTATTTACTACATTTGCATAGATTTGTAACATAAATTTATAAATTAAATAGGACTAGGAACCAGTACAAAGTATTAGAAAAATGTTCCGAAATTAGAATAAATTTATACATACTATTTGGGGAACATACGATACGATGATTTGAAAGAGCCTAAATATTATTAAATTCTAGTTCTATTATAAAAATATATCTTTATATGTATGTATGTTAAATAGTAGTAATGTGGTGCTAACATTTAATCGGTGAAACAATTATCGTAATTGAATTGGAAACCAGACACAGAGAGACAGATAGAGTGGAGTACCATGATTCTATACCACTAAATAATTCGTGTGCAAACTCTGATATATTCTGATCCAGCTCTCAAATGTTATAGAAATTTTCCTAGACACAATCCCGAAATTAAAATTAAAAAACTGCCAACATTTTGAAAATCGCTTAAGAAAGATAAAACTTGATGTTCTTATCGAATATGGCTAACCACCTTGTCCATTTCCCATTGATTGTTGTTGCTGTTGCTGCTGATGTTGTTGTTGTTGTTGTTGCTGCTGCTGCTGCTGTTGCTTTTTCTTGTCGAAAATGGATAATTTTGATTTAACAGCTCCTTCGCAGACCATAATACGCTGTTGTTGCGGCTTCTTGTCCAGCTCGAAGCAAATCGAGTCGGGACTTAGGTGCCGCTTAAAGTCCGAATACCTATGTGAGTCGTATGACAGATAGTTGGACCCCAGCGCTGAGGCAGCAACAGCAGCTGCCACACTGCCGTTGCCATTGCGATTGCACATTGAAGCGGGCAGTGATTCCTGTCGTTTCCTCTCAAAGTACTCCACAATTTTGGCTATCTGTGCGGACCGCGTAGTTGGCAATGCGGTAAAGGAACGATCGTCCCACAGCAGCGAGTCGGAGCTGATGTCATCGGAGCTGTCCGTGTAGATGGAGGAAGTGCGATTCTTGCAGTAGAGCAATTGATTGGTGGCAAACGGACTGCGCTGCAGCAGCGAGTGTATTTCGGAATCAAGTGCCAATCGATTGATTAGGCCAGCTGTCGTCGCCGTCATCTGTGAGTCGCCACTCACCAACGAATGGTGACAGGTGTAACGCCGATGATGCGTGGGCGGTGCCATAATCTCGGCGTCCAATTCGTCCGTCGAGTCGAGTGCTGTCGACGACGATGTATTCCCACCACCCGTGAAGGCTGTAGCTTCGTTATCGATAAACAGCACGGACGACGACGTTGTGGGCGAGTCGCTGTGATGTTGTTGTGGCGTCACGGCAGCAGCAGCCACCATGGCACTAGTGGACGAAGGCGTTGCATAGTAGCAGCATCGACACAGGCTCGCCAATTTATCACTGCAAACGAAACACAAATTAATTAATATTTGTACAGACGCGCAAATGCTTAACGTGCACTTACTTCAGTTTGTTACTAGCCAAGTTCAGTGATTTCAATTGGTCGTAGCAGCAGCTACTGCTGCTGCCATTGCCAACAACCAGCGAGCCGATGCCGCACAGCTGCCGCGTGTAGCTGGTGTTTGTGGTAGCTGCATCTGACTCCTCGTTGAAGCACGAGAAGAAGCCGCTTTCGATGGAGTCGCGCCGGGTCAAATTTCGTTTGGTCGGCAGCAAGTCGCACGAATTTTTCAGTCCGTTTAGTTCAAAGTCTGTGGGTGCAGGAACAGTAGCTGGGATTTCTTCGGGTGGGGGGGATTTCGAGGCAGCATCCTTTTCCGATAAGCTGCTCTGGGACAGCTCCTTGCCGTACTCAACCTGATTATTGCCCGAAATCATATCAGTTGTGGTTAAATTCAATGACGTTAATGTATTGGCGGAATTACTTGTCTTCAGCAAGGGCGCCACTTCAAGCTCGCTATTGCTGTACTTCATAATAGTTCCGCTGCTGCCTCGAAAAAGCGGATGCGTGTAGAGAGAGTTGGCGCGGTACTTGCGTGCCACTGGCATTGCCGAGGGACGGACGGCGCTGTCGTCGCTGCTCGATTCAGCGTCTGCGCAATTGCCACCGCCGTCCAGATCTTCGCCCTCCGAGTTGCAATAGTCGCAGTCGTCGATGTCGGTCAGGACAGGTGTGGGAAGCGCAGTCGCTGCCGGCGCTTCACTAGCTTCACTGGCTACACTGGCAGCATGGCTGTTTCGCTGTGGCAATTTCAGTTCGATAGCGCTGTATTTACGCGTTAGCTTCGGGGATGCTGGTAGACTCTTTGGTTCGGTACAGCTAGCTATTGGTGGCGCACCGCTCGGATTGGGCTCCAGCTCTGTGCCTGTGGCCGCACTCTTGGCTTGCATTGCGACGAGCTCCTTGAAAAACGGCGCTGACATCTCAAAGCACGAGCTGAACAAATCGCCCACGCCTGCTGCGTATGTCTTTGGATTGGCGCCCAGTATCTTCTTGACGCCTCGGAGCTGCGCTAGCGTCGTAAACGGATTCGGTTTCACCCCGTTGGGGTCCTTCGTTGTCGTCGGTTTGTATTGCGGATCTTTAAGGCACATTGTTTCACCGACCTTGCGCAGCGTCAATACTGCCGGCACCAGTGGAATTATCAATGGTGAGTCCGACAGTTTCGTTGTTGTTGTTGTTGCTGTTGTTGGTAAAAGGACCGTCGCTGTCTGCGGATCGCCCACTTGTCGCGGCGGCGTCGGCGAGTGCGTTGAGGATCGCTGCCGCTGCATTTGATGACATCGCGCCTTGTCACTGGGCGACGTATGCAGCGGAAAGTGTATTATGTTCTCGCTGAGCGAACGACGATGAAGTAGAATTTCAGCTTCTAGTTTCTGTGTGGCGCGACGAACGCGCGATTTCAAAATATGTTCGTCGTCATATTCAGCACTGTCGGCCAACCAGTTGGGTGTGCCCGGCATAGCTGCCGAGGCTGATTTACAGCTAATTCCGGTACTGGGAAATCGAAATCCATCTTCATCCACGTCACACTGGTAGCGCGGTGTCAGCACACCTGCCGGGGCTGTAAATATGCTTTCGGCAGTTGACGACGCCGTGTTGGCCAATGTGATTGCGCTCTCTATATCACTGCCGATCGGCGAGCAATTGATTAGCTCCAACGAGCTCAATGGACTCGCGCACCTCGACTCCTGTTCACACTTCTCTAGAAGTAGTGTCAGCTTCTTAGTCGCATCACTGAAAGTGGGTCGACTCTTCGGATCGTACTACAATTAGAAAGGAAATTTTAGCTTCTAGATCCTATCTATCAATCTATACCTAGAGTACTTACTAGACAACAGTAGAAGGCCAGCCTTAAGAATACAGGTGGAGTGTCCATGGGACAGAGCTCGACAAAAGCCAGGTAATCCAAACCAAATGAGGCTGTACGCGGCATCAGGTCGGGATCAGCTTCGATGCGCGCAATGATCTCACACAGAATAATTCCGAATGAAAATACGTCGCTCGTCTGATCGTACCACTGGCCCTTCAAACACTCCGGACTGACCCAGTACGGCGAACCAACTGTCTCCAAGCGTGTCTTCCCCCTGCAAGTGTGTAATGTATTTGGTTAATTAAAGCAGACTGAGATGGAAAGAACTTATGAACTTACGATTTCACTGGAATCTTAGCTGCTAATCCAAAGTCGCCCACAACAGCTTCGTATTGACCATCTGCCAAATGGCGTACAAGCACGTTCTGTGAGAAACGAAATCAACTTGTTAATTGCAGCTCTAGTTGGACAATTTCTCAATGCAATCCTACCTTGCTCGTTAAGTCTCTGTGGAAAATGCCCGCATCGTGTAAATAAGTCATTCCTCTCGATATACCAAGGGCCAGTCTTACTTTCTGCGCGGCGCTGAGAGGCAACTCCTTGTTGGCCAGGAGCTGCTCAAGTGAACCGCCGTTGATATATTCCGTCAGGGCATGCAGTTGCCCCTCGTGCACACACACGCCCATGAAACTAGAAAAGAGTTGAGGGTGGAAATTAGTATATGAAATAAATTATATACATATTTCTCAATTATATGAAAAACAGGAAACAGCTCAGATTAAGTACTAGATTAGATTTGATCAGATTAAACTCTTATATTATTATGGAATAAACATATCGATTAGCCTTAAGCTGAGTACGTTCATACAGACAGACGGACAGAAAGACCTATACAAATACAGAGAGGCAAACTACTGACAGGCTCGAAGTCAGATGAGCAGCAGCTCATTTGATGAAGCTGATTAATAGAAGCTAAACCAGTTATATATTTACTCTAGAGCAGCAACGCCTACAGTCTTTTACGTTAATTGGAGTTACAAAACCGCATACCCCCTATGAGCACTGCTCAGTGGTCCAGGGTATTGAAGCACTCACCTCAGTATGTTAGCATGAGATAATTTATTAAGCAACTGCACTTCCCGCAACATGTTCGGTCGATTGGCGCGCAATTGATTCATTTTTAGCACCATCACCTGTCCAGTTGTGCGATGAGTGACCTAAATAATGCAGAAGAAGCAGCAGGAAACGATTATTAATTATATATATTTCATAAAGACGTATTAAATAGATATATACACAGTTGCATCCGCGAAAATAGAGTGCAGCTGTTGGCAAAATTTAATACCTAAACAAAAATACTTTACATTACATTTGGTTAATAGGAAAATGATTACCAACAGCAAATGAAATTATTTATATAAATATATACATATGTCAATATCTGTGAGCTGCATGGAATATCAGCTGCTTAGGTTACATATACATATATCATTATCATTATAGTAGTTAAGCAAAGAATATACGAAATTCAAGATCTTCAGTTGCATTAAAAACGTTTTCAAGTCCCCGATATATCAGCAGCTCTATCGCTAGGCAATTCTTGAGCCTCTTATGACATAACGCACCTCATGTATACATTTTTGAATAGGGTGATGGTAATGGCTGTTACTTAAACACTTGTTTGCTCATGCTGATAGTTTCACTTTCAACTCGCTGAGGAATGGCCATTGCGGAAATAAAAAACAACAAGACGTCGCCAAATGCCGCAACTCAACAGAAAAAAACACATCCTTTTTGAACAGCCAAAAACCAAGATTGAGCAGTAAAGTTAACAACAGCCTCAAAAACCAGTCGAACGCCTGAGACGTCCATCTGAAGCGAACCTGACAGCAGGTTACGAAAAGCGGCAGAAAAAGTCAAATAAAACCCGCCTGCTGTACAATTTAGTTGCAGCCTGGCTAGTTGGCTGGCTACTTGGCTGGCTTGCAGCTCTGCTCGTCTCATTTGGGGGGATATTCCCAAATGGCCAAACAAGTTTCATATGGCGGCATTGACCACGCTTCAAATCGATTGCATCGCCAACTCTTTAGCTTATTTTTTGTTTTTCTTTCATTTTTCTGTTGTTAACTATTTCCACATGCAATTTTGCTTTGCTGTTAACAAATATTTAATACGATTTCAACTTAATTTTCGTTTGAACGTGTTTTTTTTTTATATATACATATAATTTTTAAATCGCTGCACAAAGCAACATCTCATTGAAGTCATTTCACTAATGAAATGGTAAAAAACATAATGTCAAATAATCACATTTGCGTTCTGTGGCAATCATTGCATGCATTGCTCAAACGTTTCCTGACCCTACGAAATCCCATGCCTATCAGACTATCAGACTAGTTATGCGCGTTTCCTATGATGAAATGAGTATATCGGTTTTTGTCCGGCCTACGACGGTCTACAGACTTGACATATTCTATTTTCGCCAAATATGCTTTTCATTTGCATTTACATTCATGCAGAGAGCATATTGGCCTTATCTAGAGTTCGTCTATATAAATGAAGCTTGCAGCTTGAGAGTCTTCAAAGTTGGAATATACACTCCAGCCTACCCAATATAACTCTCATCTCGTAAATATGCTAAATGGGAGTGTAGGTTGATAACTTTACTTTAGATTAATTAAATGAGATTATCGATCGATTAGATTACTTTATCTTAGGTATGTTGCTTTTAAGGCTGGATCTAACTACATATGTAGTTAACATGTTATCAAAGAATAAGTATACGGAGGTATGTATGTATTTAGTAGAAAGTGTAAAATTCGATATATTCTCATCTATGTCCTTCTCAAGTCTGCATATGATTCTCTCTATATGTACTTCTCAATATATACTGCTTAGGCTCTACTAAAAGTTCCATATATACTCACTATAGTCATCTATACCTCTATATTTCTCTCATTCCATATAAACTCCTCTATTCACTACTCTTACCTATTTAAGCTCCCTACATTTGAAGCATCAAAATTTAGCTCATTCTCAGTCTAAGTAACTTATTAAGATTAACCAAATTGAATATATGAATATGACAGGTTCAACAAAACTGTATTCTAAACAGTTTTAAGAGTAGTTCCAGCTCAGCTAGTTTCAGCTAGTTTAGTGCTTGAGTTAAGCTGCTCTGCATTGTTTACTCTGCCACGCTCTATTGTTTACTGAATTTAGTGGTTTTGTAGAGCCATAAACGAGTATTATGCAGTCGTTAGCGCCCACTGGATCATTCACTGTAATTCTTTTTTCTCTATTTATAATTATTATTTCAATTTAAGTAATGCCTTTTCTCATAACAAGTTTCATTACCGTTACCTCTTCATGTAGGGTTCTATAATTATAAATATATAATGGCATGTGAATACTAACTAAATCTATATATATTTATATTTATATATATATTAATATATATATATATATCTGTAGACCAGTATTTGAAAAGAAGATCGTCGAGTGTCGCTACCGTTGCCCAGTTCTGAGCAGTTGATTGAGGTCGTAACCATTAGCAAAACTAAACAGTTAGCCATTCGTCCGACCAGAATGGAATTTGGCCCAGTTTGCTTTCTTTCTTTTTTTTTTTTTTTTGCTTTTCGCGTTGCCTCTAGTATCTGTATCTAGACGTTCAACTTGCTTTTCGTCGTTTTGGACATGCTTCCACTACTTTAAGTTGTGCAACTCATCAACGCCAAAGTGAGCTCTGCCACAGCCAACAATCACTTAGAAACAAGTGTATGCGACGTAAGTATGACGATGGCTAAACGGTTTTTCGTTTTCTGTTCCCCCTTCTGTCCCCTTTGTTCAAAAACCAACGTTCACATATATACATCCCATATCACTCTACCAATTTGCTCTTCAGATTAAGGCTTTTACACAATCTATTAGCTATAATCTGTGTTCTTGTTAAGTGAATCGAATGCCGCTTTGAAGTACTTGTTGAATACGTTGCTAAGTAGTTGTCAGCATTTTTGTACAGGGTATGGAGATTTGAGTCACCAAATCTGTCACGCATAGTTCGGATACTTTTATAAACCCATTAACATTACGCTTATTTGAGTCATGCCCAATTTGTCATAGAGAATTGCTCGAAAACTTTGCTTCTATGACATCCGTCGGGAATGATTAAGCTAAGAACTACCCTGTACTTTACCCAGTTGTTCCTAACCATTTTTTAGATAATGTATTAACAGACATAAATATGATAAGTATACTTGTATGAGTCTTCAGCTACTTAAGGCTTTATAGCTAAAGCTGTATATTGATTTTTATATAAATGCAAAAAGACATCGATAATTTGAAAGGATAGACAAGAAAATATATATGAAGCATAAATAAGGAATCGATAATACAAGCAATTAGGCGCTCAATCTTAAATTTCCAGCTCCCTTCTCTGTATACATTTGATTCAAATATTTTCCGCTTTCAATAGAGTTCAAGGTAGAAAAAACTTGTTTGTATTTTTGGCAATATATCTATCAGTTGTTAACTGTAACATCGATGAATAAAAGTGAAATGTGAAATGCTGCAACAGGCAACAGGCAACGAAATAAGAAATAAATAATTGCTTTTTACTCCATTCAAGATGAGATACATATACACACATACGACATACATACATATGTATGTATATATAAATACAGTTGGCTGCACAGTTCGGGCCGTGGGCAAGAGGCATGCCAGACAACTAAGCTGCGCTTTAGAGCTCATTCAATTTCACATTTCACATTTCAAATGTGAGAAAATAATATTTATTGTTAAGAGTTTGAACTGGAGTTGTTTGAGCTGCGCTTGGCTCTTCACTTTGTTTTTGAAAAACCTCATGGCAATAAATTATCCATAATATCTATATACATATATATAAATATAATTTATATATATATAAAAGCATATGAGACCTCCATAAAGTACAATAACCGGCGTACCCCCGTACTTCCCATACACGAATATTTTTGTTGTTTTTGATTCATTAAGTCTTTTCTTTTAATTATTGCGTGTCGGGAAAAAAGAAAGTATGTATCAATTGCCTTTGCTTTTGTTTTTGTTTTTGCTTTTGTTGTGTTATGTTAGAAAAACAAAAAAAAAATATTTGAAATATTGTTGATTAAATGCTTAAGCTTATCGTATATACAACATATTGTTGAAGAAGGCAGAGCACTTCACAAAGAAATTACTTTTCCATGTTGAACGGACAACATATTTATATGGGGGAGTTTCGTGAATTTCATGTTGAGATCTCTTTTACTTTTCACACATCGTGAGTGTGCGCTTGAGTCACAAATTGAGGTGTTCTTCTCCTCCACTGGAGGTGTAACGAGTATATTGGTTCCACGCATTTGGCTGTCTTGCTTTACATTTGTTTCTATGAACTGTATGGAATGACTCTAGTCACTCTAGTCAGAATCTTAACTATAAATCTCTCATAAACTAAAAGGTCTCAAACAGACTTTGGTGGAGAGTATCTCTAAGTCGTTTTTAAACAACATATTAAAATTTTAAATATAGTAAGGACATAAGCGAAGGTATCCCCAGGTCGAGCATACCCGCCTGCTGCCCTCTTGCTGTCTCATAAAAATTATTAAAAAGACTGCAGCAAAAACAAAATTTATATTTTTGGCACATTCACAAATTTATTGAAAATTTGTAGGCAAACGAAGAAATTGTGGCTTATAGCACGCGACGTGAGACGCGCGTAGAACAGAAATAGATAATGTTTGTGGGTGTGTGGCAATCAGCGGACAACGGCTGAAATCCCCAATTCATTGTGAAATTTATAGGATCTTGGGCAACATCGCGTCTTACCTAAAACACAAGACATTTGATCTTATATGCTAATGCTGGGCAAGGCCACACCGATGCATAATGAAATTGGCTTGATAAACATGTATAAATATTTGCTATATATATTTCAATTGCAATATAAATATGCAGATCCCAGTTTAAAACAAAGCATTGGCAACGGCCGGCCATAACAAACGATTACGGTACTGATCTATAACGTGTGGTTATACCATATTATATAAGCCTCTAACAGACTTTCGATCGCCGCGGCATTTGTTGCTTTTGTTTTGTTTTGTTTTCAATTTTCAGTTTTCAGTTTTCAATGCTGTGTTATGGGGCTTTGCCTTTGTTATTGAAAGTGTTTTTGCCGGCTGATTAGTGCGTTAAATATTTTTACTATTTTTGCCAAACTCTGTTATTTGTTATGCAAATGTATTTTCCTTTCAATTTTTGTTGCTTCTTTTTGTTCGAACTCGATTTGACAACTCCACTGAAGATTAACTGTAAATATTTTACGGCTTTCAATTTAAATAGATCAATAGGAATGCCCGACTCTGTCATACCCTAATACCTCTAAACACAAAAATGAACACGGTGTATATGAGTCTTCAGGTGTAAGCTTAAACGGGAAACATTAACATAAACTTCATAAACTACAATAGTAAATATAACATGGGAAATTATTTGTTTTCTTCAATTTGGGGAATCATATTCGAAACTTGAGCCTAGAGTCTTTCATTAAAGTAACAACAAATCAATTATGACTAAATGGATCATCTTAATGAACATAAGTAAAAAGGATTTACTACATATGGTATACGGGATATATATATTTCAATGACTATTATACAGTTGTTAGATTTACTAAGTTTACTCTTTTCTAAATATCTCTCATTCATTTGCACAAAAGTCTTGCCCTGAATTACCCTTCTCGAGTCGCTAGTATCTGAAACCCTGAACTCAATTCCAAAATTTGCCTAATTGTACTTTGCATTAATGCAACTCATGTATTTTGCGCTTAATTTCCGCACGATATACAGTCGTAAGGTCTAGCACGTAGCAAGACGATCGATCGATAGGCATTCTTTAAATTTGAATGCCTTATCATTTAATGAAAAATATTTTGTTTCGACAATCGGCCATGCTTGAATTGCTACGATTAACTGTAACATTTATGGCAATGTACAAATATAATTTATTATAGGCTATACAAAACCTAATATAGCTATAGTAGTAAGCTAAAGGCCTCATTTAGTAACTAATTATTTCTAGTTATTATTTTATTTTATTTATTTATTTATTTATTAAATAGCTAACTAACTAATAGTATGACATTTTTCATTTAGTTATCATGAGATTTCAGCAAGACATTCAGAAATGCATTTCAAACTGTAACTACTTCAACTTTGCATTAATCTAACCCATTTTATTTATCGCCCAATTTCAAGCATAAAGTTGAATAATCCCTTAAATACAATCAGTCCCAGCTTTGAGTATACTAACGACTTATACTAAAGTTATTTTGGGAAATTTTGAATTAAACTGAGAGAAGTGAAGTGAACGCACTCCAGACAATATAGCTACTTAGCCAACGTCCCACAGCATGTTGTTAATTAGTCTATGCGTAACTGGAAGAGAAAAACATACACACAATGGTAAAAACTAAATACCATAAAAGGCAATGGACTGCTGCTGCCTGTACAGCAATATTATTTATAAGATGCATTGAGAAATTCGCACGCGAATATTGTCTGTGGCATTGGCTATTCGAAGCATTAGAAAGCATAAATTAAATTAATTATATATCATATAAAAGGCCTAAAAATAACTATTTTCACTTCTGAAATTCAACAAATGAAGTGAAATATCTATCAATGAAAAGCGTAAATATAATGCGTGAAATTTATGATTGTATTTATATACCCTGTACCCTTTGAAGATGTGCTTAGGTATATTTCTGTTTCAGTGTTAGTTTATTGGAATGTTACTTCAACTTCCAGACTTTACAATAACATCAATGTAATTAGTTTACCATCTTGAAAGTCAGGCTATGATTTTTTTTGATAAACCCAACATAATATAGAGCTTATATACTAATTGCAAATACCCTAACTGATATTATAAATAATACTTTCAAAATATATGTATAAATATAATATAATTGTAAAGTGTTAGCTTATGGTTTCGTACTTACCCTGTAAACTTCGGAGAAAAACCCTGAACCGATTTTTTCCTTAACAAAGTCGTCGACAGAATATAATGCGGAGACGGCAGTACGTAGAGCGCGACATGAGGACCCAGTGACCAGACGATCCGATGATATTGTCCGCATGACAGATGTCGGTGGATGGTCGTTGCTGGTGCTTTTCGTACTCCAATTAGTGTTAGTAATAACACTATTGCTGAGCCCGCCCGCTGACAGCTCGGCCGTCGGCTCGCCAACTCTATGAGACACTGAACACATGCCCGATGTGCTGCTGTCTCGCCACAGATTCGGCGATGCGTCCACTTGATCACAAGACTTGTTAGTATTATTGGTGCTGTCGTTAATATTGCTACTGCAGCTGGTGCTGCTGGTGGTAGTGGTGCTGCTCTCTGGGGGACCAGGTCCACTGTGTTGGTTCAGATTCATTATTATCAGCTATGAAGTATTTTTGTTAGATGTGTTGGCGCTTGTGCTCGATGTTGTTGTTGCGTTCGCTGTTGACGCTTCTGCTGTTGTTGTTGTTGTTGTTGCAGTATTTGGCAGGTGGGTAAGGGTAAACCGATGGCTGATGATGGCCTTGGGTAAGCGGCAGCTCCTTAAAGCTGCGTAGCTTCACTGAAATTACATTGGCCACGATTCGAGAGATTCGGCGACTGAGCCTTAACGCGAACACGGAATATTCTAAATGTTTTATGTTGGACGCTTAAATTTTTTACTTATTTACTTTCTCTTATTGAGGCTCATCAATTTCTTATACTTATTTGGCCAAATCATTTAACAAACTTTCAAGAAAAAAAAAAAAAAAAAAAAAACCCTATTGGTATTTATATAAATAAGGATATGAAAATCGATCGGAAAACGGAAATTTGGGATAATTCAAATGACGAGAAACTCCAGCAACTGTGATAGATATTTTCATGTGAATTTTACGTTTGGCACAATCTTGTTGGAAGATTTTTGAATCGAAAGCGCTTTGCAATTCTGTGGAAGAAAAATTTAAAAAATGAATATACAATTTTGTAAACGATTAAATACTAGATCGATTATAACTAACTGATGGTAGTCAGGCCTAACTTCCCCCACATAGCTCCTATTTGGTGGTTTATTTTTATCTCTCTTATCTTGTTAAATTATTAGCATAAAACAAAATGAAATCGATATCGAGCTCACATTATAATTATTTGGGCATAATCTCATGTAAATCTTGTGAGCTGTAAAATCTCAACTAATTCCCTTATTATTGATATATTAATTTTTGAGCGTAGGTATTTTAATTAACTCTCTAAAGAATAGAAGGATTTTATATATTTTTGATTTTGAATACCTCCCCTCGCAACCTCTCGAAATTGCAAATAAAGGCTATAGCAAGCACATGTGACACCTGACAAATACACACATCTGCATGTCGTTATCACACATCGAAATTCTGATTAGGAAAGTCCAACTGGAACACAAGCTATTCAGCAATTAATTTCCCATAGCAAATCCCAATTGGCACGTGCCTTTGTGTATGTGTGTGCGTGTGTTTGAATGTGTTTTCACATATATTATTTCTTATGTATGCATAAAAGATGAAGAAGAAGAAGAAGAGTATTCACTAGTCCGGCACTCCCGGCTGAAGCACTCTCACGTGTCATTAACTTATTTGTTTAGTAATTTTATGTGTACAATTTGTGCAGAGTAAATTTAGAGCTGTTTGCTTTTGATAAGAACACTCGTTTTATTGCGATTAAACACACGTTCATTTTAACGTTCTTAATGCTGATAAAAATAAACATTGCTAACAATCTACGTAAAGCATTTTTTTTTTCTTTCTTTTTTTTTGTCATTGACTTTGAGTAGTTCCAGTATATTTTAGATTTACAATGCCACTAAATGCTAAAATTTTCCAGAAGTTGGAAAAGAATGTTAGCTAACCGCCTGCCTGATTAATGATGACATAACAACGTTGTTGTTATTTTCCGTTCTAATCAAAAAGAGAAATAGAAAAAATTATCAACGAAAAACAATAACAACAAAGACAACGACAACAACAGCAATACAAGCTAGCAATTTGATTTGCACCTTTTTATCAGTGAATTGGCGATAAGATAGTAGCAGAAAAAATAGACTAGCAAACAAATTGGGCATACAAAATTTTGCCAGCAATTGAAATATTTCGAGTTGTCAAATCCTTATTAGACTCGACGACTATGTTACTTACTTATTGTTGCTGACTCTTTCGTCTAATGTGTAGGCAAATTAGCCAAATTCTTATTAGACTAGAGTACTGTACTCTGTTACTCTGTACTCTGTTATATAACAGTGCAGACTCAGGCTTAGTACACAATACTCTGTTAGCTAACAGAATGATCCCTTACATTTAGTGCTGGCTAAACGTTAACTTGTTTGAGCTCAGTTAGCTGCCTCGCTAGGGTTAACACAAAGTGCCTAAATTGAAAAGTAAATATGATAAATGATTCAATTTTCTTTTATTCAATTTACCTAAAATGCTGCGGCACGGCGGCTAATAGCATTGAAATGAATGCAAAGTTCAAGGCTAACTAGGTATGTGCGCAGCTAGCAAATTCATGCCTTAAAGGCATCAGCAGGAATGCGGCTGCCATTGCCAATAATACCCTGTACAATGCTGGCCGGCGTGTGCAGCGTTTTCTATTGCTAAATTGAGATGCTCTAGGCGCAGTAAATGCAATTTCGCAGTACAGATTTAGCCTTTTTTGTCAACTGACTCAGTCGGGAAACTATTTTCTTGGTCAGAAATGCATTCTTTGATAGTTCTCATCTAAGCAAAGTACAAATGATGTCTCATCTAATACCCTGTTATATTTCATTCCAGCAACTGTTGCAGTGAAATAAAAGAGCAAAAGTAATATGTCAATGAAATATGGTTAATTCGAATACAAAGCGTTGCAAAGAATTGTGAAAAAATAAACAAATATAAAAGAAAATGGAAAAATGGAACAAGGCCCACAAAGGAACTTAAACTCATAAAAAAAATTTATTTATGGAGTATAAAATGGCTTTTGTTTTTGCTTTTACAATGCCAGAATACCCCATTTTTTATTTACCCTTTGCCATATTTTCCGGCATGTTATCTATTTCGTTATCTATCGCCAATTAACATATTGGTTTAATTTCGCCATAAACTGCAAGTAGAATGGAGACTGGAAGATAAATTAGACTAGAAGACATAGCAGAGAAAACAAAAGAAAGCGCAAAAGCAGAGTAAATGCAGCTAACAAAGCAAGTGCAAAATGCGAATGTTAAAATATTTCAATGGTTTTTGTCCATTAGCACCGATCCGAAATCCAATAAGAACCAACTGAATCACTGACTTCAAATAGTGGCACTACACATATGACATATGAATGTATGTAAGCATATATATACAGGCCACATATATACACATTCACAAAAACAAAAACATCTCACAACGAAAACAAACACAATGCTGGTTTATATGTATGAGTGTGACTATGAATGGATTCACATAATAATAAGTGAAACATCTGTCGCAGCATTTGCATTTTCCGTTGAAAAGTGGCTTTCCACCAAACGAAAAAAGCGCTGGTATTGGGGAAAATAGCAGACACTAAGACTGAGCTCCGTCCGCATCGTCGGCGCGCGAGTGTTGTGTTGGTGTGCTTGTGAGAATGTGTGTGTGTTATTTTTACATTTCCGCTGCTTACAAAAATAAGTGCATGTAGCCAGCCATCCACATTAAACAGCATTCCAAGCATATACACACACAAGCACACACACACGTACACAGAAGAGGCGGTGGAGCAACATAACGGGGTAAAACCAGAGCAAATCTTATGAATATGTATTTGTAAACAAACCAAATATATAATTATAACATATAAAAGAAATGTATATTTAGTTTTTGTCTGTGGTCAAATTATATATGTATATAATTTGTATTGGGAAATATTGATGTACTGTCCCAGGCAAAGGTCACATCATCTATGGCAGAACCGCTTCCGACGAAAATGCAGCAGAAAAGAGAACGAAACATGTACCATGTAAACCCACACACAGATGCACATGCACACTGACGCACACACACTCGCAGAATGCACACGCCTTCACAAATATTGTTAAGCGCAGGCATATGCATATTAAGCAAGATTGTTTATATTTATGACTATACGAGACACGTCCCACCCAAAGAATTTGTTAATATATATTTTCCCTACTGATAAAATATCTTAAGCAAACATTATTTACCAGTTATTTTCGTTTTTATAATCCAATAAGTACGCTGTGTATACATATGCACATATACATGTATGCGTCTGTCTGCGCTATTTGGCTGCAATTGTACTAATATGAAAACACAAGCACAAAATTTAACGCAAAAAACCGTTTGCTCGTTGTCGTTTTGAAAACTCCGAAATTTAGTTGGAAGCAAAAATTTCACTAAATAATACGCTCGTCTTGTTTACTGCATACTATATACAATTGTAAACTCACACACACACACAAATATACACATACGGGTATGTATGAAGATTTATTGGACAACTACCAATTCATCATTTCACTATAACGTTTTATACAATGCATTTTATGATGCTTAAATAACTTTATTTTAAAGTGCCGACAACTTTTACTATTTTTATATTTCTTTGAATTATTAGATGTGCTTATATTTGCACTAGCGAATCGTTTACAAACAAGTCGCGACGCGAACCCACGTCAAGCTCCGTTTCTGTCTGTAATCTGAACAATTAATTTGGCGAGTGTGGCCGCACTTGACAACGTAAATACCCCATCAAATGGGAGGATTTTAATTGTGGTTACTTTCAGTATTTTTTTGTATAAATACTTAATAAAGCACAGTCACACTTTATTATGGAATTCGCTATTTTATTTAAACGAAATTTATTATTAATGATATACATAACAACTTTACTATGCCTTTATTTATATGATAGGCTATTTTTTATTTTTAATATATTTCATATACTTTCTCGCATTAAAGTTGTCTTCCACTTCGTCCATAATCTTGACCTTTTTACGCGGCTTTCGAGCCTCCAAACGCGACTTACGCTCCGCCTCGGATAGTGTACTTAAATCCAATGGCAGCTGAACAGAATGGAATATATGCAATTTGTAATTATCATTCTCCTAAATATGTTTCATCTTATATAATTACTTTGATTATTTTGCGGGGCTCGTGGTATCGAATGTTAATTGTAGATCCATCAGGGTGCACAACAACTGTCGGATAAGTACGACAGTAGACAGAACGATGAAGTCGCGTCACCGATGCAGTGGCCGATGAGAGGGCACGCGTCTGTTGTAATGCTTGAGGCAAAAGCTTAAGCATTTTAATAATGTTATTAAATGCAATATTTAGAAGCAATTGATAACCCAAATTTGTTCATCGAGTGTGACCAGCTGTTGAGAGTAGAAAATGTGTCAGTTCTTTGCTTTGCAATCGGATGTCGGTAAGGTATATTCGATTACTTTTGCCGTCTGATTCGATAATTATTATCTTGTTGAAGTAAGTGGTGTGCAAAATCGTGTGTAAAATAAAACTTAATAAATTATTATAATTCCATCTAAGGAATTCTCTTTTTGAAAGTAATACATACAAAGAACTAAATGATAATGTGTTGTGATAAGTTTGCATTAGGGATTATGAAAAATTTTGTGCTGCAATTAAGTTACATAATTATTGCAGAACAATTTTTCTGTGCACAGCTGAAAAAAATAAAATAAAATCTAAAAGCATAGCGCATAATTTTTTATACTTTTATGGCATTGACATACGATTCTCATCGTTTTTCCCTGTTTTCAGAATTGAACATAATAATAATGGCAGCACGCCGCATCGCTCAATCCTCGATTAACTGGTCTGCTCTGGCCGAGCGTGTGCCCGCTAACCAGAAAAGCAGCTTCGGTGCTTTCAAGACAAAATCGGACATTTACGTGCGTGCCGTGCTGGCCAATCCAGAGAATCCGCCAAAAATTGATTGGGCATACTACAAGAAATTGATTCCCGTCTCTGGTCTAGTCGATAACTTCCAGAAGCAATACGAGGCGTTGTCCGTGCCATACCCGAAGGACACTGTTTCCCAGCAGGTTGATTGCGAAATCGAGGAGTCGAAGAGCGAGATTTCCAAGTACAAGAAGGAATCTGAGCAGCGCATCCAGAATTACCAGAAGGAAATCGCTCATTTGAAGTCATTGCTACCATACGATCAGATGACAATGGAAGATTATCGTGATGCATTCCCCGAAAGCGCATTGGATCCCATCAACAAGCCCACTTTCTGGCCCCACACACCAGAAGAGCAAGTTGGCTACAAATCCAAGGAGCAGCTGGAGGCTGAGGCCCATGGACACCATTAGGCGCAATTGTGCATCTAGTTTAGCATGATATAAGTGTTTTGATTTAAATTATAAACATTTATGAAGTGCTATAAAAATCTTTAAAATCGAAAATAAAATGAAGAAATTCGAAACGATTTTGGTATCTTGAATTTGCCGGAAGATTAATTTGATCTATCATTATGTTGGCATGTAATTAAAACCGTCATCTTCATGCTTATATAAATGCAGTAGTAAATAAAGTGATCTTGCATATATATTTTTGTTATTGTTCTATTATTTTAAAATTATGTTATTGGACTACGCCAACCTTCAGGCATTGAGAAATGTAACATAAATTTCGATTCATCGATAAATTTGTGAACAAAGAAGAATAACATTAACATTTGAGGTTCTGTTAAAATGCTTTTGAACCAATTAGAAGATTTCAAATCTGAAAGCAAAGCAATTGATATTCGTTAGTTTAAATATAATATATCAATTGAATTTTGATTATATAATTAATAAGTTGGCTCGATTATACAGTTGTGTTCTATTTATTCAAGTACAAAGTTTACTTATTGGATAAGTAAACTAATTCAAAAGGATTTGTAGCGGAACTAATTCAACTGAACTAAGCTGTTCGTTCACGTGAGCGCATCGACTGATCGAATGAACCAAAATACTTTTGTTAGGCATAAATTAGTAGTTCGTTAAGTGAACAGTAAAACAAGAAGAAAGAAAACGAGAAGATACATATATAATTAAGTTAATTCACGACGTCGGCGTTGCATGAACTATTTAACAATTTTGCTGTGTAATCGTAAACCGACGATGCTTTCGCGCCGAAGCAAAGACAAATCGCAGGCACATAAAGAAGGCGTTGTGGGAAAATATGTTAAGAAGGACACGCCGCCCGAAATACCGGTAATAAATGTATGGACCTCCTACCCAGACCAACAAAATCAACGTGCCAAAAAGAAGTCACTGCAACGCTGTGCGAGCACATCGCCTAGCTGTGAATTCAAGCCGCGCAGCTCCAGCTCTAGTCGCAATACATATTCGTGCAGCGATGTTCAGCCGGATTATTATCATGCGCGACGGGCCCAAAGTCAGATGCCCTTGAATACCAACAATAATCAGCAAGCGCTGCAGCCACCGACGGCGTCCAATACTCAGTTTCAGCAGAGCAACTATGTTAATATTGAGCAAATGGAGCGAATGCGACGTCAGCAATCCTCCCCGCTGCTCCAAACGCCCACGAGAGGCTTCCAGCGTAGTTATTCAACGCAGAAGCAAACGCAACCAGTTGGTGCACCGAGCTATGATATCGATCAGAACTTACTAAGCGCCTCCTTTGCTAATATGCTACAACGGCCAGCCCAATTTGCTATGCCACAGCCAACTCAGCTGCTGCATCAGCCTATTCAGCAGCATGCGTCACTCATGAGGTATTTAACTACATATATTTGGAATTAGCTTTTGTTTAATGCAATTTGCCTCACACTTTTACAGAGCGCCACTTGGACAACAGCAGCAGCACTTAGGTGGGCATATGATAGGCAGCTATTCAAGTGATTCATATCCCATATATGAGAATCCCTATCGGGTTTCTTCAATGCGTGCAACACAGTCCCAGTCGCAGCGCTCGGAATCTCCTATATATAGCAATACGACCGCATCATCAGCTACGCATCCACATCAACATCATCAGCACCATCCACATCAGCATGCTCATCATCAGCAATTTCACCATCATTTACCACTGCCCCTAAGCGCATCGCTGAGCGTGAGTGGACGAGGCCGAAGCTCTGGTAGCACTCCGATCGCCTCCAGCTCAGTGCAGTCGCTCTACGCGCCACCTCTGACGCCGCCTGCGGCTAGCAACTCGACTGCCGGCACTGCTGCCGATAGCAATAGCAACGGAGCCCTACAAAAGGTGTCCTCACAGCAGTCGTTGACTGAAAGCGAAGAGCTGCCATTGCCGCCCGGCTGGGCTACGCAGTACACATTGCACGGTCGGAAATACTATATTGATCACAATGCACACACCACGCACTGGAATCATCCGCTGGAGCGCGAGGGCTTGCCAGTCGGATGGCGTCGCGTTGTCTCCAAGCTGCATGGCACCTACTACGAAAATCAATACACCGGCCAGTGTCAAAGGCAGCATCCATGCTTAACGTCCTATTACGTTTATACCACGTCCGCTGAGCCGCCCAAGGCAATACGGCCCGAGGCGCCGTTGTATTCCCCACCTGCACATACTCATAACGCTTTGGTGCCAGCTAATCCCTATTTGCTCGAAGAGATACCCAAATGGTTGGCCGTGTACTCGGAGGCGGACTCCTCGAAGGATCACTTGCTGCAATTCAATATGTTCAGCCTGCCTGAGCTCGAGGGCTTCGATAGCATGTTGGTGAGACTCTTCAAGCAAGAGCTCGGCACAATCGTTGGCTACTACGAGCGCTATCGGTAAGTGTTTGATGACTTGAAATTCGTGAAAAAGTTGACTCAGCAAATACTTATTGAATTCGAATTTTATTTTTGCTTACAGCCGTGCCTTAATCTTAGAAAAGAATCGTCTTGCGGGTCAGAATAAGCTTCAATGACGAGCTGCGCAGCAGGAATATATACCCTATAAGTTATACCAGAAATTACCCAAGTTTTGGGTAGTTCGTTTTGATTTCTAACAAGAATTTCAATCAGTTTGTAAACTGTGATATGATTCGACCTAAAAACGAATGAAATAGAAATGAAAAACTGTCTTCAATTGCAGTTCAAGTGAATAAAGTTCATGCTTGACTTTTGCCTTAGCACATACTAAATTATTTTATAATTATATCTTTACGGCTTGTGTTCCGGCTTTTAACTAATATAAATATTTATGGAAATCTATTTTCAATTTAAATATACGATATTCAATTGACTCGAAACCCAACAAGAGGTGCTCAACTAATTAATTTGTTATAAAAATATATCGCAACGGTGTGCTCATATACTTATACAAAAAAGTTATATGCCTGAATTGCTATTATTTATAGAAAACGAAGTACTATGTCAATACGCGAAGCCGAACTCGACTCGAGTCAGTTACAACAACAAAATCGATGAACGATCGAGCGCTTGCCGAGCGTCGATCACTCCAATATCAAAATGAGCTTCAATGTACCCTAAGCCCATGACATTTATGTAAATAGGGTATATTGTTTGTATTAGAGAGTATGTAACAGCCAGAGGGCGGCGCAAGGACTTGATTGGGATCGGTAGAGAAAGTCAATATAGCATTGTGATCGACATCAATTTTTAAATTGATCGATTAAAATCGTTATCGACAATATTAGAGATGCATGATTTCATACGTTTTACGACTTGGAATTCAGAAATTTGAAATATATTTGCTAAGTATTTTATGATTACCCAAACCAAAGATGAATTCATCATTTCGACTAGATAATCTATAAAAAGCTCTAGGGACATTATGTGCTTACTTATGTATGTATGTGTGTTGGTGCTAGATGCTGAAATACTGATGCTCAAATTCCCATTCAGATCAGATAATAAACATTTGCGATTATGCAAAAGCGGAATGTCCATGGTATTCGTCTGATTCTGCGTGCCCGTGCTAGAATGCTGTAGGCTAGGGCATGTGGTAGTCTGGCACACCCGCCCACAGCACTCTGGCTCGTTACATATAAAGTGTTGGAGCACTGTCGCATGGTGCCTCAGTATCTTGAGAGTCGCGTGTCGTGGAGCACAGTTTAAGCTTGCGATTGGTAAGTTGTGCGTGCACGTTGTTAAAGTGCAGCACGAAAATGTTTCGAGTTCTCGATTCGAGTTGCAAGAGAGTTTTCTATATCGCCGATATTCGAGTGCGTAAACGGAGTTTTGTGGATATATGCTTGCACATAGTTGTGTATATAGGCAGATGTAAAAAGAAATGAATGTCGCCTAGATACTTTGAAATTTCTGTGACGTTAGCCAACTTTCAAGTGAAAGTTCTAATCCGGCTGCAAAACGATATCGGAAAAAGCAGAATTGGCTAATTTATTTGCATTGTTTATTTGAACAAATGGTTAAGTCAGCGAATTTTCGACAGCCTTATACATATACATATGAATACAGTCGTCTAGCCCACATAAAGTGTAAATTCTTAACTAAAAATATTTATATTATTTCCCTTTCTTCATTCTGTTTGCTGTCGGCAAACTTTTGTGTGACTACAGTTATAGTTCGAATCATCATTGATTACCGCAATCAATTTGATTAGCCAATTTATTGCAACATGCATTACTAATACAACAACAACAACAACAGCATCGCGAGCATATTGTAACGAGTCCGATTAGCCTTATCAATCAGTCTGATAAGTTTATATTCAGGATGTTGTATACAAAGTTTTGCAAAGTCATCTGCTTTGGCTATCAACAAATATCTGAATGAACAGGCAATTCAAAATAGACGACACTCGTTCAGATAGTCAATCGAGTATATTGGCTTTTCATGAATTGTATTTTACAATTAGGAAATAAGTCAGTCTTCAATTTTATCAGATCCACTAAGTGCTCTATTTTATTAAGTGCTTAGCTAATCTATACTCATTCACGAATTCAATAAGAGCATTTCGGTTTTCAGTTGAATTTTATATGTAGTATATACTCTGTTTACCCATGTCCGCTCATCTGTCCGAAGAATTGTAACTTGAATCTGAAATATAAGTGCTCGGCTGATAAGCTTTCAGATTTGAATACTCGCTCACATACAGAACAGTCTATATTGGTTTGCTTTCCTATTCGTCTTGCTAATTATCTGAATGCGCTTAGAGTGGGGCATAATTATAGAGTCTAGAATATAAACTACGAAGTTAAAGTCTGAGTAATTGAAATACATATGTAGTAACTCATACAAAAATTCTGGGCTAGGTAGTTACACGTACTTCAGGCATGAGTAGAGCAAGTGTTAATAGAGTACTGTATTTGAGGTAGGATAGAAACAGAGACTGGCAATTGGAATATATATTTTTGTAGATTTTTATTACACGTAAAATATAACTTAGGGAGTTAGCGACTCTATAAATTGCCTTAGGCTTTCACATGTACTTCCTTAAAGCGTGTTTGCTCATAATCAGATTCTATAGGATCCATAGATTAGAGCTAGAAGACTTAGATATGAATATGGATCACTGATCTTCTTTTCATCAGTTATATCTCTAATACTATAATATTTTGCCTAATCAGCGAAATTTCCCCAACGAACGAGCATTATGCAGTCGCTAGCAGCCGTTTGCGAACTTTTTACTTGTTTTATGGAGTGCAGCATGTCATAGTCAAGGCGGTTTGATTTGTAGAACCTCCGCCATATGAGTTTTTGTGATTGTATTTGTTACTTGATATACTTATATACGAGCGTCTTTTGATAGTGCTCATATACAGGCACACACACGTGTATATGTATGTATGTGTGTGTGCTAGGTTTATGACTCCATATGACTCGCTGTAGATTGTTGTTAGTTGGGCTTGAGCATGTAAAAAAGTGTATAAAAGCTTTGCTTTCGTTTTCCGAGCAGTTTAGGTCTTTTTTTTATTGTGGAGCGTGCGAAAAGGTCGCGCCTTTTTATTCATACAGCAAATAGTAGTTCTTAAAAATTGTTATTTATGTGATAATTCGCAAATTTATAGTTGATAACTGAAAATGTATTCTTGTGCAGTTTAGCAAATGAGAAGTCTATATTTCGTTTGTTTGCCCAAGTTAAATACTGCTTTCCGGTAGTGTACATACATACGTAACAAGAGATCGTTTTAGAATTGTATGAAACCCTATCTTCAACACATTTAGAGTTTCAGTTATCAAAAATTACAAAGCTTGCATAATAAATATAAGCATATCCATAAATTATCTAGTACATATCGTTAATTATAGGTAAATCGGAGTATAACAATATTTCAATCAACTTTACTGTTTTCACTGATTGCTGAGCAACACAAGTGCAGTGAGCCATTTTTTTAATGCTCTACAATTGAGCACTTGCTAATTTTTGCTGACGCTGTAACCTATATATGTGTATACATATGTATATATATAGTGGACTAAATAAAAATCTTGGTAGATTTTACATGAACTTCTTTAAAAGCATATTCGAGAGTTTCGAAAACGCATGCAACTTTGATCGTTGATTAAACTGTTTTCCTGAATTTGCTTCAATTTGCTTTGCTTCTTATTTATTCAGATCTCCAATTTCCTTTCAGAATTGATTGCCTGTAAATATTGTGACCTGAATGCCTATTGACTGTATGACTCTCAATTAACACAATGAAGATATATTAGCATTTACATATACCACTCAACATTTGCATATATGTATCTATGTGTGCATGTATGTATGTGTGGTTAACAAATTTCGCATACAGAGAGTTGTTGAACTGAAGTTCTTAACAAAGTGAAATTACAACTGTAAATAAAACCAATTAAGCGAATTCGAGCAAATACTCATACGACCCACACCCATAGAGTATGCAATGAATACATAGGGAGTCATGTATTTCAAATTTGTAATTATCATCTTTTAAATACCTTATTTATATCGTATGCCTTTAAATTGAAGGTCAGTTTTTAGCCAAATGTTTTAACATTGAAGTAGGGCGAACAGTGAAATGGCGGTATTGGTATAGCTGTATAGTACACCCATTAATATGTTAAGTGTTTTTTATAATCATTTTGTAATCTTTTTTGAAAATTCATTACAAATTATTTCTTATTTTGCGAGCACACTATTAAAACCTCATTACTATTTATATATTTTAGTCATTCACATGTTGCCATTTCTCATTCCTTTCAGCTGTTGATAACAGAACATGGTAATGGAACAACTTAATTTGCAAGTGTTTTAAGACTACAAATAAAGAAAACCAAACAAAAATGTTTTATCGTTTTCGTTACTTGCGGCAAGTGCTTGTTCTTGCATTGTTCAGTAAGTTTTTGCCTTCGTTGACTTCTTCCATTAACTTTCAACGAAGTCAAATGCTAAAAATAAAACCGTTTTGTTGCTCATTTCAGTTACAATTGGACTATCAGGAGTAACAGCCAATGTTCTAAATGTAGACACTCACGACTTGACAGTGTTGGTAAATGACAACAAAAGTTTTTTGATCTATGTCAGGTGAGTTGAGGCTCTCAATCTGGGAGTATACAGATCTATTCTGTTTTCTTCTTCTGAGTTCGTAGTAAAGTGATAGGATAGACTTTTATCTTTATAAATATGTTCATAGCGCATATGAATATCTAATATAACACTTATTGTATATTGTGTATTGTTGTACACAAGCGTTAAAGAATTCAACTGCAAATCTTGCTCTATAATTTATTATTTAGTACTTTAGACTTTCAGTATATTTTTACGACTCTCAAGTGACTTGCAGAAAGAACATAGACAGTTACTATAGAAATATAGACTCTAACTCGTATTAGTTTTTTTCTCTTTTCAAAATGAATTAAAACGATTAAAAATTTAAGAAATGTGTAAATAAATTAAGAAATTATATTATTCTTGTGACAGTTTAAGTGCTTCTGAAAGGTCTTGCTGCAACTAGTAACATGTCGGACGTGACCGACAGCATGATAGTCGTTCAATGGTGCTATAGAGTAATTTATCTGAAACTCTAGCACAAACATGCTCAGTATAAATACTTCAAGTTTCTTCTGCTAGCACTAAAGAAATTTTTTGCCATCTTCTTAAAATTCCACAGCGACCAATTAACTGAAGATATCGATGTGACTTTGATCAAACAACATGAGTATCATCTGGACCTGTACCCCGAAACCTTCTCATGCCGTAAAGGCATAACAGCCGAACAAGTAGTTGTTGTAAGGGGTCGAGCGGCGGGTCATGTGGAGGTCACAGCAAAGAGCAGCTCCAAGGATGCATCACTGTATGAGGATCGATCTCACATATATATACAGATGTATATAAATATAATGTTAAATATATTTCATTCCTTGCAGCACTGAAAATCTGTTCGTTCGGGTCGTTGTGGCCAAGTCGGAGGCCATAATCTATTCCTCCATTGTCTTTGGCTGGATATATTTTGTGGCCTGGTCCGTGTCGTTTTATCCACAGATCTGGATCAACTACCGACGCAAGTCGGTAGAGGGCCTGAACTTTGATTTCATAACATTGAACATAGTTGGGTTCACATTGTACAGCATGTTCAATTGTGGACTCTACTTCATCAAAGGCTTGCAAAACGAATATAGCGAACGGCATCCGCGCGGCGTCAATCCGGTTATGCTGAATGATGTCGTCTTCTCACTGCACGCCATGTTCGCAACAAGCATCACGATCGTGCAATGTTTCAGATATGAGGTAACTATCAGATATGATGTATAACAATATTTCTGTGTATAAGACCGAGCTATAATGATTTATCATTATGCAAATCAAATGAAAAAGTAAAAATTTGAATACATCCTTATATCTTTTTCTCTTTATATTTCTTATATCATAGCGTGGACAGCAACGTGTGTCGAAAGTCGCATATGGTCTGTTATCAATATTTGCGCTTATTGTGATCATATCAGCGGGACTGGCTGGAGGATCTGTTATAGACTGGCTGGATTTCCTATACTATTGCAGGTATAATAGAGCTATGCGTGTAAACTTTGATTGTAGTACTGATCGGTTCCATTGATTTATGTAGTTATATCAAATTGGCGATTACAATTATTAAATATATTCCACAAGCGCTAATGAACTATAGGAGAAAAAGTACAGAAGGATGGTACGTTCCATAATATTAAGAGATTCAACTGCTATGCATTTATATATCCATTTATATTTTAGGAGTATTGGTAACATTTTATTGGATTTTACTGGAGGTACTCTGAGTATGCTGCAAATGTTGTTAAATGCCCATAACTATGGTAAATTGTTTAGAATAGTCAATTTAGAATAGTCATTTTAAAATTTGTTGTATTATCTTCATAGACGATTGGCCTTCAATATTTGGTGATCCAACCAAGTTTGGGCTTGGCCTATTTTCAGTGCTCTTTGACATATTTTTCATTCTTCAACATTATGTGTTTTACAGGTAATTATGTATTTTTTACTCATTTAAAACTGTGATCTAAAATACGGTAAAATACTTACTTTAGTATGGCACTTTTGGGAAGCTGAAATGAAATAATGAAACTATGCATATGTATGCATACATGTATTAGATTAAATATAAATAATTTATAAATATACATACATTTTTTATCTTTGCAGGCATTCGAACAAACGTACGGAAACAGTTTCTGATTTGACGACAGACACTGTGGCCCCAAATGATGTTCATATTGATACAAAATAAAACAGGGTTAAACTTAAGTATTCATAATGTTGTTAACTGTTAAAAGGTTAAAGATTGTGTTAAACTTGTTATATTTTTGCTAAGTTATTGTTTTTTCACTTAATATATACTGCAAGTGTATGTAAATAAGCTGAAATACATTTTAAAATCAAATTTCTTGACTTTATAAAATTGACCATGATCACAGAGAGAGTTAATGTATTTAAATTTAACAAACTTCTATTTAAATATCGATTGCAACAGCTTTTACGCAATGCTATTAATAATAATTGCACAATATATCGATAAGCAGCGGTAAACGATAGTTGCAGATCAGCTGTGGGTTGCGCCACACTGTGACTGACGATATGTAAGAAGAAGAGGTGTGTTAACTCGGTGCGGCTTACAATAATAAATACAATTGATATATAGGCACATAAATGATAACATTTATTGCGGAAGTGTAAATAAATTGTATTTAGAATGTCTCGACAGAGGAAAAGGTATTACATAATCGCTATCTGCGAATTGCCGTCACACAAGCTGTTGCATACAACACGCATTTTGTGTGTGTGTGTGTGCGTGATTGTTGTTGTGTATGTAAGAATTCGTTTACATTTACAGGCCTATCGCGTACGTTGTGGAGGAGCTGGATACCTTTGATGCAGCTGGCTCCTCATCGCAGGAGAATATCAGCATTGGAAATGCCATAGACGATATGTAAGCCAATATTTATATTTATTAATGATAATCAGAATTATTGTGTTCAAAACATAATGTATTCCTACAAAAGGACAGGCAGCATTCAATTCAGTGTTGCAAAGCCTGCCAACTAATGGCTATTAATACAATAATAACGAATATTTGAATATTTATGCATATTTGCAGCCCCATGGAGCCGATGGCTTTTCTGCAAGGTCTAAACGTAAGTGAATAGAAACAGTTAAGTTTGATTGTAAATAATTGTATTTATTTTACATTTGCAGTCGGGCAATTTGATGCAATTCAGCCAGGTAATTATTTGACTACTTAAACCGCTGAGAGAGATCGGATTGGACCAGTATAAGCGTAAAACTGGCTACAGCTGACAGTACACTTGTCATGAGAGATATATCCATTTCGAGCAACCCCATGGGCTTGATTTTATATTTAATGGTGTTGATTTGAAGGGCGAATGCGTGCACACTTTGTCGAAATCGCCAATCGGCATTTTGTAAATTGATCTCTTGCAAAGAGGTGCCCGTGGTTCGAATTACAAGTAGGATATCATTGCTCACATAAGTCAGTAGGGCTATTTCCAGAAGTGATATAGTCAGAAAAACTAAATTGATGAGTGCACCAAATCCATCGAATTGCTTGCCTCCAATGACAGACTCGGCTATGCCATAGTATTGATTAAAAGCTCCAACCGTAATGCCCAGCAGATGACAAATTAACGATAGGATTATTGAGAGCGACATGAGAGCCATATACTTTGTACTTTTTACGCATATAATCTTGTACTTAATCGCCAGGTCATCAAGCTCATCCGCTAAGGTACAGTATCTCTGTATGCAGTAGTACTTCGAATAATGCTCTCTATTTATTGGCAGTTGCATACAATTCACCTGGTCGACAACCATTTTCAGCCTATCATTGACGGCTTCGACGATGTTCTTCGCTATGATCATGGCACCAAAGTAGCAATTGTTTAAAAAGTTTGATATAATCATTGGAAACAATTTGTACAGCGTCCAGGTCCAATAGGCATCCGGTTCATTTCGTCTCTGTTGCATGACCAAAGCAAACTCCAAAACTAGCGGGAATCCGAGTACTTTAATTAATGCCAGCATTACGGACTTCCTTATTGCTCCACTCTCGATATGCAGTTCGTTCAATGTCTTAAACAAGGGAACTGTGCTCATCATTTCGCCAGCTGTTTTGCTCATTATCATTTGGGTGAAAAAGTTGATAGTCGCCACCGTGATATTCATATAGCTATATAGCTTGACAGCATCCCGTAGATTGAGCTCTGAGTTCATATAATCCTTATATATCTGTCTTACGTAAATGCTCATAAATATCGCTGTCACCATCATGGCATATGCCAATATTTTCTTCGAGAAGACGAAACGCTGTCGGCCCCGCAACGTAAACCGATTGGCAAACAGTCCAAAGAACGTTAACATAATGATGAGCATAATAAGCAAAGCATGTACGAGTTTGCCTTTGCCATGAATCGGCTGACGCGATAGACGTATGCCTAGAAAACCCATTGCCGCCAAAAGGTCTATTGAGACTAAACTTTGCAATTCACATTTATCTATCATTATTATATCCTTTAACGCTTTGTGTTGAATAGGGTATAATTGTTTGTTGATACGGGTATCATAGACGCATATATGCTCGCAGAAGTTTACTCAATCTAGATATCAGAGTACATATTATTATCAAGGAAACCGATTCAAATCGATATCAAAATTTAGTTATTTGAGTAAAGGATAAGGAGTAAAGGATATCGCGATATAAATACGGATAACTGCGTAGAAGCAGCTCAACGCCAGTTACAGAGCATCTTCTAGTCGAGCATGCCGACACACTCTCCAGTTTGAGCCTCAAAATTCATATATTAATTTCAATCAATCAATATGCTGCGCGCTAGACACATGACATAGTTTGACATATCTGGAAATCGTGTAATATTGATTAATTACTTGTAGAGGACACATACATATCTACTTATGCATGCCTTTATCAGTTGCCCAATTTAAATAGAGCTCATATGCAAGCCGGTATTTGCTCATGCAAGAGATATACATATATTTTAAATATATAAAAATTCCACTTTTCAGCAATCCATTTTGCGAGAAATGATGCTGCAGGATATCAAGACACAGATAAACTCATTGCCCAAATTGGAGAATCACAACAATGAAGACTATAACTTCAGCATGGTACTGGAGGAGCCGCCAAAGTCGCACTGGATGTATTCGGAGCCATTGAACAAGTTGTACATACGCATGAATAAAACGTTCAATATTGATGCTACGTTCAAAATCAAAATGCCAATTCAACCGCTGAATTTGCGTGCGTTTCTGTGCTTCGTCAAAGATGTCAGTGGACCCGTGCTGCGCTGTCAGAATCACATGAGCACAGATCCCAGTGAGTCTCTACATAGAAGCATATCACCTACACCTGCACTTATTTAACTCCGTTTCTCTTTTTCCTGCAGTTAAGGATGATCCGAGTAAGCGGGAAAGCTTGCTGCGCTGTGAAAATCCGAATGCGACATATTGTGGCACGGCTGAGGGGAAAAGTATTGGCGAAAGATACTCCGTGCTTGTGCCACTGAACCTGAGTCGTCCCAGCCAACACAGCGGCGGGCTCGTGCGCCAGACGTTGGTGTTTAGTTTTTCGTGCCAGAATTCGTGCTTTGGCCGCAAAGAAACTTGCTTAGTGTTTTGCTTGGAGAACAACAAGTACTTTATATAATAATTCCAAAAATCAATTTATACTCATTAGAGTTATATTTGCAGTGGCGATATACTAGGTCAGCACGTGTTGCTTTTGAAGATTTGCACGTGCCCGAAACGCGATCGTAACATGGATGAGCGGCAGCTGGAGAAAAACAAGATCAAGTCATTGTCCGCTGCTTCGGAAGATGATGAGGTCGATGGGCCGGATGCCAAAAGAAAATATCGTCGCACAATGACCCAGGACATTAAAGAGGAAGTCGAAAGCAACGACAGCAACGATATGCCATTTGTGCCTGCTGATTGGCAAGTCTCGCGCACGTTGGACGGCGACTATCGTTTGGTCATCAAGTGCGAACAGAAGGATATGCTATTGCAGAGCATCGAGGGTATTATTGAGAAGGCGGCCGTTGCCTCGCTTCGTAATCCACAAAGTTCAAAGCTGCGTCAGCATGTGAATAATTTGCTGAATTTAAAAAGTAACTATTATATAAATTTAATGTCTCCCTCTGATTATTATAATTATGTATTTGGCTTGCAGAATGTGCTCAGAAGTTGCCTTAATGCGGAATATTGACAGTACAATAATTAGTATTACTTCATTGGAATTAAGTTTTAAAGTGTTTTAAGTGTTACAATTATCATTCCTAAGGAAATGTTTCAAAACCACAATATTTACATATTGACAATACAAACTTAGATTTGTATGGAAAAAATAACGAATTTGGCATACAAATGAATTTTTTGTTCGGTAATTTAAGATATAGATATATATTTAGTTTATATTAATAGATACCTCTAACATACCCTGTTTACTATATATGTGTATATGGTATTGTTATAATGTGTATTCAAGTATACATGTGTATTTTATTCTAATATACCTGAAAAATGAATATTTTTTTACTTGTTTTTATAAATTTAATAAATGGAATACAAAGATTTACAAAATATTAATTTTAAAAACTACAGAGAAAAACTCTTGTTTCAGTAATAATCAATGTATGTATGGCAAATATAAGATATAAGTATATTAACATGTGAGCCTTATACACATTCAATGTGATCATTTTATTACCATATCTACATCATAGTAAGTAGCTGTCTAAAATAAAGTTGTACTTGGCTTAAATATAGCGAACATCTGCTATATGTCTTTCTCTCTTGTCGAAAATAGCTGTTAATTGTACATTATTCACTTTTTAAAACCGCCTCGATCTTCATGCTCTTCCAAAGAACATGTGCGAAAAGTCAAAGATCAGCAAGCAGATGTTTTGAAATATTTGTTATTTCTCGTCTGCCTTTAGCCATATGCAGTTTTAATCAATAAGTAAGTGCATTATATTTATAACGGAAACTATATTTATATCGTTTCAATATTCTCGCAATATTGGAATTTTAACGGCTTTCTCTTTGCCAGCTCGAGAGCCAACGCCATCGCCATCGAAAGGTTGGCAGACCTGTTTGCCATACGAAATGTTTGAGTGAATTCCATGAAAAAAGTAACTCAAACTTTTACTCGAAGGTGTAACAAATATGCGACAAGCCAAGGGCGTACAAATATATATATATAAACATATATTCATTATATATGTATGTATATATATGGACACATTATGGATATCAAGAATAGGTAAAGTAGCGACATCTTCTATTTATACCCTGTGCTTATGAAGATGGGCTTTAATGTGTTTTCATGGAGATTTGGCTTAAGAAGCTTCATCGTCTAGCAGGTTCTGTAACTGCGTCGCTCTCGGCACCTTTAAACACTAAAGACTTGAAAACACGTATTACCTACGCATCTATCTATCATTACTCTCGAATAAAAATTCCCAAAGCTATTCAGAGACGGAAGAAGCAAGAGGAAGCACATGTCAGCATACTTATAAATGAGATTGCTTAAAGCCATTCATGAAGCTTATTTACATGAAATTAACAAATATTCAAGGATTATATATAAAAGTTTACTGTTTCAGGACATAACAGAGTATACAATTTTTTATTTTTCACAAATTCTATTTGTCCTTACCATACCAATGTGAATCCATAAAACAATCAATATTTATCACTGCAAGTATATTTTTAACTAAGGGGTATATGCTAGTCGAGCGCTCTTGCTCAGTTGAGCTTTCGTTAACTACTTACTTATTTTCAATGCTCTTGAAGTCGATCTCAAGACATCAGGTGAAACTGCCTACACATGCAGTACGCGCTCTCTCCCTCTCGCTCTCTCTCTCTCTCCATTCCCCCTCTCGCTTTCCGTCTCTCTTTCCATTAGCCATTCAATTCCACTCAAAAAGAAAAAAGCCAAAGCCAAGCACCTATTGCTGCCACAAGCGACTGGCATTGGGAGAGAGGAGAGCCGACTTGCTGTCGGCTTGATACACCAAACAAGATAACTCGACGACAACGATATATGTACGTATGTATGTATGTACGTATGTATGTATTTGAATGTGAACAAGTTGTCAGAGAGCGATCTGCAGTTTGTGTGGAAGAGTACGAAAAGTTGAGCGCATTGTTTTTAGTTTTATTTCATATTGCTAGCTCAACGCACGTGCGATTACATTAACGCTAACGGATAAAATAAATAAAAAATAAAAAATAAGTAAATAAAAAATTTGCCTTTTTATGCAACTGCATAAACATGGTCGAAACAGCTACCACTACAACAATCACGCGCACCACATCGAGTGCAGCGCCCAACTCGCATGCTGCTCCATCGGCCACGCCCTCGCCCACCGCGGCCCAGGCGCAGCGGAACGATGAGACAACGCGTCTCATTTACAATCTCAAGATTATTGCCTTCCTGTGCCTGCTGCCGTTCGTGCTGTTCGCCGTGTTCCTCAAGCACCTGCTGGACTACCTGTTCGCCCTGGGCCTCAAGGAGAAGGATGTGAGCGGCAAGGTGGCACTGGTAAGCGCAGGTGGGCGGGCATTCAGTATTGCCCAGGTGTTTGCGTTCTATTCGTGTGCTTAAAATGCCAAAAAGTGCTTATTAAGCTGTCGCATGTTGGCTAACGAGCATATTGGCTCTGATGCCACATTTCGTCTGCCTTGAGACTTGAAATGAGACTCAGCTTAGACTCTGTCTGTCTGTCTGTCAGTGGTAAAGCGCCCACTGGAGGCGTGGCAGCGTGGGAACATTTGCATACATTTTTTATACATATTATATACACATACATATATGCCTCGACTGAAGCTAGATGCATGCAATGTAGAAGATATACATATAATCGTTTATAGATTATACATCAACGCTTATATCAAGTTTATAGAACCAAACCCGTTGACAAATTGGTCAGTACTAAGTTGCAGTTAGACTGCCAAAACTTAAAAACTGAGCTAGTGTTGACTTACTCCGAAGATTATATACCAAGAACTGAGCTCATCTATAATCTATATCTCCCAAAGCTTTAGAACCGAGACTTAAACCAAATATTTGAGCTCAACGATCTGCACAAATCTGCAACTGATATTTACTCCCCCCTTCCCTTGCCCTTCCCTCAGCTAACTATCAAGCTATCTGCTGACCTTGAGCGGGTATTGTGCAGTCAGCTAAGCCTGCCTTCATGCCGCAACTCACATTGCAGCAAATGGTTTCTTAATACTTCATATGTAATGCACAAATGTTTGTACATTCAGTTATATGGATAAATGAATTAGAGCAACGGCACATGTAGTTTTCATCTACTACCGTTACCTCTCGCCCATGTCATGCGGTTCAGCACAAATGGGTGTGGCTCGATTGCGTCGCTTTCGTTTTGTTCTCTTTCAGTTTTTATTGCTACTGTACTAAAACAAAGTATTTTAGCTATGCGTTCCCTAAATAGTCAACGAGTGTATATATGTATATGTATATGTATATATGATGTCAATCCATATTCGGCTGCCTTTGTCGCTCTTGGATGGGTTTTGAATGTCAAATGAGCTCGGGGGAAGCAAGTGATGCCAGCACTGTGACACACATAATCATATAAAAACGAAATATGTTTTTGTTTATAAACTTAGTGACTTGGGGGTTAATTGAAGTTGGCTTAACTAAAAATGAGACTTGGCTGAATAATGGTAAAAGTGTAGTTAGCTTTGTTTATAAATAAGAGAGTAATGAGAGTTTAGAATAGCAACAACATTTGATAAACAAAATATGCTTAAATAAATTGAATGAATTAAGCGTATATTTAAAAATAAATCAATACATTTTATTTTGAGCGTGAGCGCACTTGAGAGATTGAGATATGCAACTTTATTATATATACATGTATATATCATATATGTATATATGTAGTATGTGTGTTATACAAAATGTTATATTTGTAATGTTAATGAATTTAAGGTTAATTTAAGTTCACGCCAAGCAATGAACAATTGCTTATGGTGCTATTTTATATTTCTCACAGACGTGCACACATACATATACATGTACATATGCATACATGTATGCATATTTTTAAACGCATGTCAACTCAATTGACCGTTACGGCAAGGTCAAGTTAGCTGCCAAAACTGATGAATGTATGTATCAATGCATGTGTACACACACACACACACACACACACATCGAACCGATCTCTAGCATGTAGTCCATAAAGTTGTGTGCTTTATTATTGAAATTCCATTCGTATGCCGTTTTGTAGGTGGGTCGTCGTAAGTAGCTTCTCAGGTATTCGTCATGTCACTAAAGCTCGGATTGTTCTGTATTCTGGCGATCGCTCACACAGATACGAATATTAGCTAACCCACACAAATGCGCTGTAAACAGGTTTCTTTCGTATTTCGCTTAAAAGATTATGAACTTCACTTTTGTTTTCTTTCCATTAATGCACACAAAGCACACACATACACACACATACACACACACATACATACATATACATACGTACATCTGTATGTGTTTGTTTACATACCAAATTGATGACGTTGCCGCCGCTGCTCGCGCTGTCTGCGGCAACAGAAATGGAAAACGCAAACATAACAAGATTCGTAGCCAATGAAGATGCGCAAAAAAGCAAAATAGATAACGAAGATAACACGATTAATACCAAATTAAGATAAAGCAGATAAAACTTCCGTAACGTCTACGTGTATGTTTTTAAATTTTATGTTTTTAGCTGAGGCATTTACTTTAATGAAATTGCGATACCCTGTAAAAAGTGAAAGTCTGGTAAGGGGGGTATTGTGTTTCTCTTCGAGCTTATGTAATTGACAAATGCATATATAATCAAATACATAATCTATCATTACATTACACCTGGTGTTTCGATCTGATTTAATAGCCAAACCGATCTCGACTCGAGCCTCGACTGTCTTAAAATCTGAATCCTTACTTCTTATATAACAAGAGTAGATTTAACTCATTTCTATCTATCCAGAAATTCTTTCCATTGCTCTAAAATTAATCAAAATTGAAGCTAATTTGTGCATATGTTGTAGGACGTAAGCTCGAGAGATATCTAATTACATAAGACTAGATTGAAATAAAGTATCAACTAATGTTCCTTTCAAATTACAATTTGATAAAAATGAGAAATCGAGTTCAGTCCTCATGTTTATATAAGAGCTATACAGTACCTTTCACAATCCCAAAATAGATTAAATTCTTGAATAAATCATTTTGTTTACCTCTTCTTCATTTCATCGATTTTCATTGGATATGCAAAAGCAAATCGTCTGTTGTTCAGCGAGTTAGGACTCGAGGATATCTTCTGATCGAGCACTGCCCGACTTAAGTGCTTTTACTTGTGTATTTTATAAAAATTAAGTTTATTACGGTTCAAGTGTTCAATTGACGTTCAACCAATGGGGGTCACATCATTTTAATTACGGGCTAGACTTAAATCAAACATAATCAGTTTATGGATATTTAAACACACTCACACACACATATGCATGCAGCTGTACGTGAATGCCGTAGTTGAGTAGCTCATTGTTTGCAAATAAAGCCAATTAATTTGTACTAGTTTGCATAATGAGAGCTTTAGGGCATACATAAGGCAATTGTATACATATGCTTAAATGATTTCTACCCAGATATAGGTATGTAGCAAGTACATATGTAGACAAAAATGTCAATAACACTGCTAAACAGTAGTTTGAGTTAACTCATTTAAAAGATTGGCATGCTGAGTCTGAAAGCAGTTA